GGTCAGATGACAAAATAGTCATTCATGTAACTAACCCACAATGTAGGGGTTAGTATTGCCTCTTCCAAAAAGTAGTCCTTAAATGTTGTCATGAAATTGTTCGTCAAGATTGGAGCTAAGCAAGATCCCATCGCAAGTCCTTGTGTTTGCTCATATACTTTCCACCAAAGATCAAATAGGTGAATACGTCTATGCATGAACGCTATACTCAGCCTTATTCCTCTTGTGATCGCTGGGTGCTCCTTCGGAATGTGTACTAGAGCCTGAATGACTCCCTGAACAGGAATGTTGGTGCACATGAAGACAACTTCCAAAAATATTAACCTATCTCCTTCAAAGTTTATCTGCTCATCAGCTACCTTCACAAACTCAGAAGAATTTTTAACCGAATATAGACAAAGATCATCAATTTTCCACGGCTGCGTGCATAAAAAGTGTGATTTGTTATGCATCTAATAGGGGTACCCTCCTTGGGGGCCCCTGCATCTCTCTGGAGTATTGAATTCATTTTATACTTCTCTATTTCACCATTAGTTAGAAATACCTTTCGGGAATACTTCAGCCTAGTTTTAAGTATTTCAATTGGACCTCTCAGTAAAGGCATATAATTCAAATGAATTACATTTTTCTATGCATAACTTGACTTACCCATGACTACCACTGCTCCAACTTTGTCGGCTTTCATAATAATTATATTATTGCGACTTTAATATCCGAAACTCTATAATTATTTGGTCAAAATGAGGATCCACTTACAACGTATTACTATTCTTCATCTCTTCAGGCACTATATCAGATAAACTAATTACTTTAGCAAGTATGTCGAAGGAATAGTTTACTTCATTTGGAAGAGCAAAATTCAATCCTGTTTCCAATAAAAGTTCCACACTGCCTTTCAGAGCTGAACTGGATAAATTAATTAGCTTAGATTCCCAAATTTGTTAGAGACATGGTAATTACGAGTTACATTAAGAGCGAAATTTCTCGATCTACTTCTGATTCCGAAATTGTTGAATTTCTTATCATGTATCCGCCTAGTCATTATATTCGTGGACTCTCCTAAGCCGTCAGCCATACCTTTAACTCAGTACCTTAGAATATGCAATACCAGAAAATTGTATGGCTGAGCTGAGTAGCATTCTGAGCATAAGGTGTGCATGAAATTTTACATTAATCAGGCAATGCAATGTGAAATTTGATGGCACTGTGACTTGACTTATCTCATTTGTGAAATTCCTTTAACAGTCCCTTCATCAGCTTAATAGACCCCAATCCTTCCGGTTACGTATTGACGTCGATTTTTCGTTTAAACTCCTGAGCTCCTAAAGTATGATTCAATGGAAACATGTAGCCCACTCATGTGATTGTGAGAGAATTCAACAGCCAGTCTTCATTACATTAATTGAAATAGGATTAACACGGTTTTTATTTTTTGATATTCACAAGGAAGAGGCTGGCCATGTTTCCGGAAATTCAACGATAAAGGCAATAGAGACGAAAATTGCCACTTCTCACTCGTGACCGAATCGAGAAAAGGAAGTTAAGCTAAGTTAGTATGGAGAAATTAAACTCAACCAAAAGAACGGAGAACAGTATCCTAGCGTCAGCTTTGTTGAGCAGCTTTACGAAGGCTGAATGTCATCAGCGTTGACATTATTCCAATAAACCAGTTCAAACGGGCCTTACTCATTATGGATGTGAAGCTTGTCGTTACTAACTGCAAAGTCAGCATATCGGGTTTAATGTAAAAAACATATTCTATTTTTCGATACGAAAGTTGTAAACTTGTTTTG